TTATAGTCCTGGTCGCACATTTTTATATCAAAAACTTCGTACCTCTTGATGGTATTCGACGAGTTCATTGAGTGATTTGAATACTTTAGGAAGTCCTACAATAACGTATTTACCAGATCGTGTCTGGTCAATCATGTAATGTTTGCATCGGTTGACGACACTAAAAATGAACAGTTAAAACAGTCAAGACTGAAGTTTCAAGGGAACGTTTACGTAAGGGAGAGTTTTCGTTCTTCTTCATCATCGCTTTCAAGCTTTCAAGTTCACTCACCGGTAGCTTAAGGTYTATCCAAAACGACTTTCACTGACTCGGACGAGAAAGCAACCAACTGGTTTCTTGGTCAAAAGCATCTCCGACCGCCTMAAACACGATAACACACGTTTTTCAATCCTTTGTTATACCACAATTTATAATACATCCAATAAGATAGCAGAATTGAAAAGCAATTAAAATTGAAAAATAGGAGATTTCTGCTAGGTCGCTTGACAAAATATCGCAGGCGCGCGCATGAAAACGAGGTATTCCGCAAACACTAGCGAGCTACAGGYCACTCGCGGCCAGGAAATACTTCGCTTTCAATCACGCGCCTCAGATATTTTGGATCTCAGAAACCTTACTCCCAAAAATCAAGTACCTTCTTGATATAACCCCATGGAACCAATCGTGAAAMACACCGTGTGTTTCCATCCCAGCGCCCTTTGGAGCCTGCGTTTCTTGGTACCACTGCACAGCACTGAAATCAACAGCGAAAAAAGACTTCATTTTCTATTCTTATTGTCTTATTACTGGAACATGCAAGTTCTTATAGTCACATGACCACTGCTAGGAGATGTGGTCATGTGATTTGTTAGTTCAAATGTTTTGGCCCTTACGTTTCCTTTGTGGCGACGGCGCCAAATTTCACTTTATTTGCATCTGGTTCGCGTACAAACTCGTCTTCACCAAGATCAAAGTCACCGACTCCTTGATCCACAAACTGTTTTGGAAATAGAAAGTAAATGAATTAATAAAAATAAATTAAGCTCTCAGGCTGGTCTTTCGAAAACAGCATCACTAATATCAAGAACGCAGCTGGCAAAGTAGTTGGACTTGAATATAGTTACTCGTTCAAACCAAACCAAAGAAAAGGCGAAGGCTCCCCCATTCCACTCACCCGAACATCGTCAATGGTCGAGAAGGTCTGTGTTCCAGTTCCCGTTGAAGTTTGGTTGCCCTGTCCAAATTCCAATGATGCGTACCTTGTTTTACTTTTTTCAACAATCAATTCTGCTCAAGAAACGATARTTTCATAAATAGAATGAAAGGAGTTACTCGCGTGGGATTCCTGTGTCAAGACCACRACAATACATACCAATCCTTCTCTTTTCCTTCAAWGCCTCGATGCCTTTGTTAATGTCTGAATTTGAGAGCTGGATTAATTGGAGYCAGTCTTTGGCTTTCAAGTTGTGTTCCTCTGCTGTTTTGACAAGGCGCTTCTTGCGACGACGAATCAGGAACCCACGTACGACTAGTCACGTGACAAGATATATCATCAGTTTAATGATACCGGATGATGATAACAAAGATGTCGRAYAGTATTGCTCAGGCTACTAGACGTATTGAGTTATGATGACATCGATATRGAWTGGAATCTTGACGACCTAAAATAATGTTGACWAACCTTTTTGCATTTTGATCACAGATCGYTGAACTTCGCCCAGTTTTTTCACTAATTCCTCTGCGTGCCAATACTTCAAGAACACTTTGGTTTTTCTGAAACATAAAACATCATTTTCCGCTTTAGTTAAGACTTGATCGTMTTAACTCCAATTAGAAATCAACATTATCTAGGGCCCAAAACCTGGAAACGTCAGAATTTTTTTTCTTAGTCTAGTTTAGTATTTTCAACACAATTATTTCTAAAACATTAATCCACAATATACTATCATATCCATCGAGCAGTCCTCGATGAAATACATACATCTAGATATCTAGATGGATTAACTGACTTTTCTTATAAATTTTTTATGATTTTTACCAATTAAAAATATTCAGTATCAAAAGCAATTTGCAGCTCTTTTTGTGTCAAGGCCCTAGCAGTTAGCAACGAATGAATTATTCCTTTAAATGCAGATTATTTTCAAGCAGTATTTGTCGCTCAACAGTTCAACATCAGTTCGGGAAATTTACGACTACAAAACCCAGCTGTATCAGTGAGTTTTCGCAGCGCTTTTGTACTGCAATCGATTCCATTGCCCTAGAAAAACCCAAAACGGCGTAAAATGATACTCTACCCAATGTGCCAGTCATTCAACTTGGACTTTTTCAGGATTCTCCTGCAGCTTGACTCGCTGGGCTTCAGGAATGGATCATAAACGATCAACTTGTAGCTGAAGCGATGATAAAAGGAAAAAATAAATGAGAGAAAACGATCGTTGTCTGTGTAAGTGTCACCAACGTTGCCACATTGTCTTGAGAGTGTCAAACCTAATCCARAGTAATTGGGTGCACGCAGTATCGACTAATTATATTTAATAGTATAAAACATGAAACAAGAAATGATTGTATTTACCGACCTGTCTACAAATTCCTCAAACGTTGGTCTAACTGGATACCCTTCACGGCGAATTCGCGTTGTTTCAAGAACTCCTGTGTATTTCAACTAAGGAAAACAAWSACAAAAWGYAGAAAAATGGAAATGTCAGATCTATATATTGTGCAGCAAAAAGGGCGAGTGCACACCCGAAAGATATTCTGGTTATTTAATCCGCCGCCACAGAAACACCGTGGCGAAGCAAGTAAGCGACCAGTATAACTGAAGGATGAATAATATACGCCCACAGTAGCTTTTGGTCGCAATCTCTTCGAAAACCTTTCATTAAAGTGTTAAGGAATCAGCGTCTATTTAGTGTAGAGAAATGAAAATTCATGCTCTCTGTAGGGGAACCCTATAAAAATATTATCCAAATTTGAGCAAATGTATGGAATTATGAATAATATTGATGGTACATCTGACTAGAATTTGACTTTAGAACCATTTGCTTAATAGATCTCCCCCCTCCCCCAGTAGGTTTAACTTAGGAGGGGAGGGTAAAGGTATAAATGTACAGACCTGGTCTTCAACGTACTGACTGTCAAAATTACCGGATACCTGAAAGGATACAATTTATAGATTAAAGAAATACAGGAAACCCGACGACAAAGATGTTGTCTACCTTCATATGATTGGGTTTGATGCATCGAATGAAGTGTGGACTGGCAGCAGTTAGTTTCTCCATCAGAACAGTCAAAGATGTCTGAAAATAWTTACAGTTATCATTATCATCATCAGRATCATCATCACCGCTAACCGTCATCATCAATCATCATCATTAGAATAGGCACGCATGCACCGCGTATTGAAACATGCGCAATTTGACCCCAATACAGTTTGAACTGAGTGTACTTTCTTGCAAAATCGGTGGTTTCCGACATAATTGTATCGGATTTGTAATATKTTACCCTAAACTGACTACTGACTGTCCCTTTCTTGGTATTTGACTTCAGTTGTCTTGCTGGCTTGCTGACGCGCTAAATCGACAACCAAAATTATTCTGAGAAAATTGTTTGGAAATCGAGAAAGCTAAGACTTCCTAAGCCATTTTTTGAAAAATGATTGTTACATATAGTACTAAGGTAACAGGATTGCCACAAAATCAACGCTTACACTTTTTCTCATTCTTGCATCGGCACCCATCTTGCCTAGAGCTAGAGTACCGGTCCTTGAGATGGTCGCTATGGGAACAACATCAACCTTATTACATTGCGATCAACACTCGATATAACGAACACGTTCAACACCGAACACTYGTCCCAAAARATCGCGAGTCTGAGTTTCCATCYACAGTTATCAGRAACAAYTACCATGAGGGAAAGTCACGAAAATATTACTCTGTTACTCTCGAAATCAGAAYAGGGCGACGCCTTTGCTGTGAGGGAGGTCACAGAGGGGGGTTTAAAACCAAACCCMTRATAWAKCAGMAGTACATGCCCCCCTTTGTGGGTCTTTCTTTMGATGAGTAGCAGCTCTACCTACCTGTAAAAATGGTGCTAATAAGCTCATTACCACTCTTCTCTAGAGCCTCTGTAACTCCTTGTGGTAGAGTATCYCGATTCTTTTCCAGGAATCCATAGCTATCATATTCCACCTACGTGAATTTCAAGGTTATTTGTATTAGCATASCATCTAACTATGTTTTGCGCTATACATGGTGTTACTTTCCATAACTCCACAGGAGGTATTGCAAAGTTTACTAATGCTATTCTAGGTATGCTTGAAATGTGATAATAATTAATAATAAAAAAATAATAAATATAATTAATACCTTTCCTGCATAGTGAATGATGGTAAACTTGCTAAGCTGAGATTGACGGGATGTCACCAAATGTTTGCTCTTTCCYCAATTCTTGACAAGCTTCTGTACAAAGGACTGGTCTGTACTCTGTTGACAGAAAACAGTGTGAAAAAACCTTTGATTACCATGACCCATTACAGACTATATTATTACCTTGGCAACAAAGGGTACTATGGTGATGAATTTATTATTAATTGGTTCCCCAGTAACACATTGTTTACCATGGCTACCATAGRAACAAGCTGGTTACTAAGGTTACTAGCTAGTTACTATGGTTAGAATGTCAGGTACTGTTACTAAGGTTAACACAGTAATGACTTGGTTACCAGGGTTGACCAATAAATGCACTACTTGATTTCATTACCTGAGGGAAGTGACTTTCTTCATCCAACAYAGCAAGCAARCCAATAGGTTTTTCTAAGAACAGATCCTTTGAAAATTAAAAGTATAAGTAATAATGTTGRAAGTTGTCTGAAATCAAGAAAAATCTATCCTTGRAGGGTATATAAACCTACCAAAACTGGTTTGTTGTCTTCAAAAGTGATGGTTGTCCAGTCAATGCATTCTTTCTTGTACTCTTCTTGTTCCCACATAAAAATATGCTGAAACACAAACCAAAMATGTCAGCATGACAGCTCTAGTATGTTATYATTTAAAACTGATGGGAACTATAGCGGTAAACTAGTATGAGCTGCGTCGACAGTTTGCTATACCTGATTGAAGAAGAACTGCAGTTGCTCATTGGCCAAATTGATGCATGCTTGTTCAAAGCTGTTGTTCTCAAAYTGTTCAAATCCAAAAATGTCAAGAATTCCTAAGAACAATCAAAATCTAACTGAACATGCAATAATACCACAACTACTGTCTTGATTGTTAAGAACAATAATAGGCCAAGACACCCAAATATCTGATTTACTGGAATCAAATTACCTATTTCCATGACATTCTCTCCTCTTGCCATAGCTGGTGGGGCAAGTAAACGATTYATTTTGTTAACAATCCAACTGAATAGTCGTCCATAAAGAGCTTTTGCAGTTGCATCTCGTACATCTGAAACAAATCAAGTTATTTTGTTTTGATTAATGCCTATATTAATGTATCTTCTTTTCTTGGATGTTTAAGGTTTGCTCCATGCCCACTGACCAGGCTGGTATTGACACAGGGTAACCAGATGTACCTAATGCTTGATGTCTTTTTAGCCGTCGTTTGATGACACTTCCCTTTGTGGTGGTAGATGTAGTGGTTATCACACTCCTCAATTTCTCTGCATCTGTACCAAGAAGTTTCTAAAAAAATAGGTAATCAAAACAAATCAACCATAACAATATCATTTCCTAAAAAATGTGTCCATTCCTTCATCAATCCTTTGACTACATAAATCATCCACCCATTTAATCATCTTGACCATCCATCCATTCATTACTTTACATTATCATATTGTTCATTCGTTAATAAGTTTATTTATTCATTTATCCCTCCCTCCTGTTCCTTCCATTCATTTGTCCATCCATCCATTCATTTGTCCATCCATCCATTCATTGCTTCCATTCATTCCTTCATTTATTCCCAACTTTTCATACCCAGGTTCAGTGACCACAAACAAAGCATTGAACAGAGGCGTCACTGAACATAAAAGAAAAGATCTGATGACCAGTGTTCCTTCCTGTTCCTTGACCCCCAGGTTCAATGCTTTATCTGAGGTCACTGAACCTGYGTATGGAAAGTCGTGAATTCATCCATCTGTCTAATTTGTATTTCACTCATTTATAATCCATCCATTTATTAATGATATTGTGACTGTGATATTATTTACAACTCACTGCAACGATATTCAAGGTATCTTGATCATTAACAACAGCATTGTCTTCATCATCAACACCAATTTCTAAGTTACCCATGTTCAGAACCAAGGAAAGAAGCAAGAACATATTGATTTGCTCCTAGAAGAAGGATTTAGAGATTGAATTGGGATGTATTTCACAGCAACAACTAAARTTTGTCTAATCAGAAGCAAAAGCAAACTRGTATTGCATAATTGTAAGATGAAGGTATATTTTTGAGCTCATGTCTTRCAGCTACACCATCAAAACTTCATGTGTGGCTACTAAATTTTGCAGCAAATAAAGTTTTTCTTCTTCTTTTTTTCTATCAGTAATAATTTCACAATATTCCAGAAATTAAGATATAAATCAAATAAAGRTATTGCACCTCCTCAAGGAAACCAACAAGATCAATAGCATTCATTAGCTTGTTGAACATCTCTTTATTTTTCTTCYTGTTCTTGCTGTCATATCCATTGCTAAGGTAGCTGAAAAATTAAGGTGGCTGCACATCAAAAACTTGTTACTATGGAAACACAGTTGACTTGAATTATTATTATTTTTAGAGAAGTGAAAGAAGTAAGATTTTATGAAAATTATGATTACATTTCTACCTGTAGTTTTTAGGCGAACCTAAGCCATAAATGTTTTGGTCTTCTTGAGATAAGCCAGCAAAAATGTAGTAAAAGATGTGGAAGTTTTGTTCACCAACATTTTGAAGAGCAATTCTTGATTTTTCCAAGAGATATTCTGAGATCTTTGCACCAATAACTAAGTTATTAAAACAGTAAAATAGTGTTGATTTAATGGAATGAAAGGAAAAAGAAATATTGAAGAAKATTTAACTGAGTTAAAGAATAYATAAATGAATGGATGAACAAATGAATCAATCTATAAATGAATGGAGTGATGAATGGGTCGATAAATCCATGAATGAAAAATGGATACTAAAAAGAAGACTGGTTGATTGGAAGAGCGAATGGATTAGCAAATGAATAAATGGAAGATAGAAATTGACAAAGCATACCTCCACCATTTAGAAATTTCAGCTGGATATATTTGCCAAACCTGCTGGAGTTATCATTCATCAAAGTCTGRGCYTTACCAAAAGCCTCTAGCAGTGGGTTCACCTTAAAAAATGACATCATTAATGTGATAAAATTTCCATGTGTATCAATGATGAAGCCTAGGAATGACAGTAGTCTCCTTCACGGTTCCCTGCGCCATCTTGAAAGGTAGCCATGCCTTTACATCGAAGTGAGACAACCATTGAGCGTGCGATGATAGATACCTGTGAATAGTTGTTGTAGGTGTGAAAGAAGGTTTCTATCATTGCATGCGCCAACAATGGTCGTCTCGCTTCGATGCAATGGTTAACCTTTCAAGATGGCGCAGGGAACCATGAATCATGTATCTAATGAAGCCTTGGCTGCTATGTGTAGGTAGTTGAATCTGAGCTTTTGCTGTCTACAGCATCGTCAGGGAAATGGCAGTTTTTGTAATCAATCATAGCATTTATATTTTTGATAAAATTATTATAATAATGATAATGGCAGACAGCTCTATGTACCTGAAGAATCTGCTGTTCAAGTTGAGAGTCACCATGTGATAATTCTATCACTTGGTTGATGATAAACTTTGCTGATTCTGTCTTGCCTGCTCCACTTTCTCCACTGCAAAAGAAGCCATATTTTAACAATAACCATAATCTTTATGCTGAAACCTTTCTGTAATGCACTAACACTACAACGAAGGTTGTAACTTAGATAAAAAAAAACAAAGATGTCCAGAAGAATAACGAGTACATTATTTAAACTAATTTCTCAATTCTTTGTTTTTATTGTCTCTGACTCAATCACAATTTATGTTCTCACAGCAGTGATTGGCGTAAAAACTTTGTTTTGCAATATGTGAGTGGAAAAAATAGTTTGAAAAGTAATAATCATGAACTGTAAGAACCTGATAACACAGCATTGGTGGTTAGGTTTAACACCACCCTTCCCAAGCATAGCTTGATATGCAGAATTTGCAACAGCATAGATGTGAGGTGGTGCCGAAGACTTGYCTGCTTCTTTGTACTTGCTTGAAGCCTACATGGTGGAAAATTGATTCACAATAATTAATAAATCTAGCTATTTTTGACAATGTGCTGAGATATAATCTGACACACACAGGATTTTTTAAGGTAGCTGCACTTAATGCTACCAGGAAAGGAGTGGGGGTGGTGGGGGGGGGGGGGGGGGGGGATAGTTGAACACCAAACAATGAATATAATCGCCTCTTATCTGCAAGGCACGCCCTAATGCCAAATCTTTTTTTTTTTATATTAAATTTAAAAATGTAAAAATATATAGTTAAATTATGAAAAGAAATAATTATTTTGGAAATATGTTGTGAACCTGTGAATACATTTATTGGTTAAATAGATTTGAATAATTTCTTCAGCATAAAAAAAGAAAGAAAACAAAGATTTCCATAAATAAGCTTACTTCAGAACATCTCCTGGAGTATAAAGTACAACAGAAATCTGATTATGTTGCAAAAATAACGAACGAAGCGCACCATTTTCTAAAATAAAACTTCATTATAACTTACATTTTTGCCGTAGATATCCAAACTCTTGAAWGGGTTGACAGCAATTAAAATATCGCCAACATAGGTCTGGAAGTACATTAAATTATAATCTTATGTAGCTTATTCATATCTAACATTCTTGTAAGAAGTTTTGCATCTTTGCTCAAACAGCTGTCTTTTAGTTTTGGAGTCTCAACGAAGCATAACATGATATATTTTTACAGCTTACATAAATCTTATCTTGCGAATAACGATGTTTCAACTCTTGAAGAATAACTTGAGAGTCTAGTCTTGGTAACTTTGCCAAATCGTCGGTTTGGCCAGGGCCCGCCATAGTGCACAACTAACTTATATTTATAAATACAACTTATATATTTTGATGGAATTTAATCGCTGAGGTGCACAAGCCAATAAAATGCAAATTTGACAAATGTTTTCATTGTGAACTAGGAATCGTATAAATTATTCGTGTCAGTGACTATCAAAAACAATGAATTCTACGCACAACGACGTCATAATCTAACGTTAGTCAGACACTTTTTTAAGAACCTTACGTTTATGATAGCAATAGTAACCTGAAATAATGATACAACGTTTTCCTACCTTCTAAAAATGCAAAGCAAAAGGGTCACTTCACAGAACTCACAACATTCGTCCACTTCCTCGAGATTACTGTTTGGGCCTCCTGTGTYCAAATACACAGGAAACCCACAAGTCAGACAGTCACGCAAACAGCCTCCCCTATTACAAATTCAAAGGAAAAAGCTACCACTTGCTCTCTTGCTTTGCAAATCGGTAGAAAAATCTTCWAGTAAAACTTTAATTTTTTTTTACATTAATCAATCATCAATACYACATGCATTTACAATTTTTAATGAAATGATTCAACATGAGTTATTTTAAGCATATAGACAGCGTTTCTTATCTGAGATACAATGATAATTACAGATTCCTATGATAATTATGTTCATAAGTTGTACTTTAATAAGTGTAATTTAGTTCGAACAATACACCCTAATTGAAAGAAATGTTGCCAGGTCATCCAAATGMGATATCATAAAAGCTAAGCTGCAACAGAAATTCAAATCATATTTCCCTAAACTAGTTACGCTATACATTCTGTGTAAAAAAAGGTCTTTTTAATTAGTGCAGGCAATCTTCCAGCACTGAATCACTGTTATACTCATAGAATTTGCTTTCCCATGCTCAATTGTAGGCTTTGATGATGTAAACTTTTGGAACTGGACAACGTTTTATCAATGAATCAAGTGCATACATTCTTCCTTTGCAGACCTCATTAGTTTTGGTTAAAACATCCCTAAAACTTATAAAGTCTGCAAAAAAAACTAACATTATTGGGCTGACCCAGCAATTATCAAGAACAAAGTTGTCTGTGCCATTTTAGATGAATGAACAAAACCATGCAGAATTTCATGCAGTGGAGTTGTCATTGACGTGTCATTACATCTAAGACTCTTATTATGTCGACACATGACATTGATGACATCACATTTAACTGTGAATCCCCTCCTAAGCCCTCCCCTCCCCCAAACCCTTTAAATGTGCCACTGCAGGAGTGTCAACCTCAAGKAAGAATCATGTATCTTGAGATTGATAAATCCCCCATTTTGTGAACATTTTCAGAATGTCGAACCCCAAAAATATTCATCAGTATCTCACTTTGGCAATTCATGCACAAATCAGGTTTCATTTTTAATGTTATATATACTTAAAACATAAAGATTTTCCATTTTCTAAAAAAAAACTGGAGATTTTGCAGTCTTGAGAACAGGACACATGGCTCAAAAATGTTGGGACAGCCCTGAGTGCCATCCCTGCCCATGCAATGGACTTTGTTCATCATCCAAAATGGTGTTAATGACATGATGTGTAACGTAAGATTACTAAATACGGTAGCTTAAATAATTTAATGTTATAAAACAAGAGTATTATTATTGCAATATCCAGCACTATTTACCAGCACCTTGCTARWTTTTTACAAACAATTRCACAGCAAGGAGAGGACGTTTTGTGCTTCTTTTTTACAGACAGAAAGAAAACTTTCTCTGATAACACTTTAACAAAACMAAATGCTTTTTTATAGCGAGTGAATACACAAAACCCATGAAATTCAATCGATAGCTCAAGTTTCTGATTGTTTCTTACACACAWGAATATTCATTGTCTGTTCAAGAAATACAAATTTTCTTTCAAAATCACTCAGAGTATGTAAAATGCTAAAATGTAGAGCGCAAACGATATACAGCAGTGAAATATTACTACTAAAAAGTGTAGATTAGACAAAATGAAGCAAAGGWATGATCATTTTGCACTATTTTGGTAGCTAWCTACATGTATTTGATATTGRTTGTCTCATGTATAGCACATGTGTGCTTTGATACAGCGAGAAGCCATAAGTCCACACGCTAGCATCCTTGATTGAGAAGGGTTGACACTTCCCACTATGGGATGGAAATTTACATTAAAAGAAACATGTTGTGTTTTCATATTTCAAGAATAGTTATGTTAAAACTATCAAAAATCCCCACTTTTGGAATTTTGTGGAATTTTACCAGTTTTTCTTMGATGGTTTTCTACTCATATYAATAGTTGTGGCTTTATTCCTCTTGAGGGAGMCGTCTTCTATGCTAAAATACAAACATGAAAAATAGTTTTCTTGCTTACATATTTTCATCTATTTTAACTTTACAACTAAAATCACCCTTTTATGCAATTATTCATCAAACTGTTCAGTCAATCAATCATCC